GTTACACACTGCTGTCACACACTACTGTTACACACTACTGTTACACACTGCTGTTACACACTACTGTTACACACTACTGTTACACACTACTGTTACACACTGCTGTTACACACTACTCTTACACACTACTGTTACACACTGCTGTTATGTACCTGATACTTATCAGGTTAATACCTGGTACATACTTGGCTAGTACCCAGTACTTACTTGGTACGTATTGTGAACCTGGGACTTACTAGGTTAGTACCTGCTACATACTTGGTATATACTGTGTATGTACCTGCTACCAACTAGGTACTTGCAAAGTACATACCTGGTATCAATCATGTTGAGCCATACCTGGTTTGTACCTGCCTTTTTTTTTTCAGATAAGTACCTGGAACTTAAGTATACATACATGGTTTTTGCCAGGTTAGTTTCTGAAACTTTTTGGTAAGTACCTGGTTTCTGATACATATCAAGCATGTCAGTTGGTACCTATTTGGTAGTAGGTATGTAAATGAAATATATCCGGTGCATATCATGTACTTACTTGGTTCTTAGAAAGTTAGTACTTGGGTTAGTACTTGACATAACACTGAATAGTACCTGGTACCTACAGGAACTGGGCTGATTAATGAGGTGACCCTGTACTAAACTGATGTGCATCATATGAACCTATATACCCAGATGTGTACACATGGTACATACTGGGTATGTAACTGTTAAGTATATACTTTGTAAGTACCAGTACACACATTGTACAATAGTAAGGGTTGGCTCCAGGTTAGTGGTGAGCCTGATTAGGCTCCTTGTGACAGTGATCTGCTGAACTTTAGTTTGAAGGTTTTCCATTGATTTCTGGTGTCACCTCTAATGAGGACACACAGGTCTGTGGGTCAGTCCAGCTTCTCAGCTCTGACCCGAACCCAGTACACCATCACTGTGTAATACGTTTAAAAAGTACCTCGCCAGATCCAGGAAGGAGTCGGTGGTCTCCTTGTTGGTGCTGACGCTCTCCAGACCCAGGCTGTTGGTGTTCAGCGCGCCGGCTCCGACTCCCGGTTTGATGATGAAGGCCAGGGCCACCCCGATCCCCGAGGCAATCAGGGTGGTCACCAGGAAGTAGGCGACCGCGATGCCCCCCAGCTTCCCCAAGGAGCGCGTGTCCAGGCTGGCGGCGCCGGAGACCAGGCTGCACACCACCAGGGGCAGGATGATCATCTTCAGCATCCGGAGCAGCATCTCTCCGGGGAAGGCGAAGTGGGCCATCTGGGCTCTGCTCAGGTTCATGCTCCGGACCATCATCCCGAGCCCGACGCCCACCAGCACCCCGGACACCGTGAGGATCACCAGCAGGTTCCTCCTCAGGAACCCGCACAGCCTCTGCCTGCAGCTCCTCTGCTCGCTGCGCTCCGCGGAGAACCGCTCCGTGGAGGCTGAGGAGGGCAGGATCCGGTCCGTGGAGGCCGAACCGGGCATCGCGTGCCCGTTGATCTCGCTCTTTTTGTCCATCCTGTGTTTGTGAGGAACGTGGGAGGGAAGCAGAGACCGGTTCTGAGCAGCGTGGGTTGGTGATCACTCACTCACACGGCGCAGTGACTGACTGCTCAGAGCGCGCAGCCAATGGACACGCTCGTCCGAACCGTGGCGCATGCGCACTGAGGCCCATCCTTATAGCAGGAGCAAATGATGCAAGAGTTGGGAAGATTTACAGGGTCTCTATGGATACTGGGACATCAGGACTCAGTGGACACAGGGACATCAGACTGTTGGATACTCAGAAGTGATCTAACACACCCTGCAACCTTGTCCTTCAAAAAAAAAAATAAAAATAAAAAAACAACTCATTGATCTCTGTGATTTTATTAATCCATGCATCAGGCACATCATGTCTCCATCATGCTGTATCATTTCTCCTGCAATAAAAACCATCTGGATAACAAAAAACTTTGTTTTGTATTTTAATGTCCGGTGGATTGTTGCATCAGGTTGTTCTCCTTTGAACAGAATAATCTGCTGCTTTCCAGTTCCTCAGTAAAATGATCACAAATTAATCTGTAGAGGGGATAAATCTGATGTAGAGCTGAGTTTTTTCTCCCATATAAATTTAGAGGTGGCTATCAAGACTATTTATAAATATTCAGCTAACAAATCGGCTTATTTGATTTTATATCTAACGGATGGAAGAAGGTGAAGATCTGTCAGTCCCCTGCTTCTCCCGCAGGGGGCGCTGTGGGCTCATTTAGTGAGCTGAAGTAAAGTGAACTTAACACTAAACTTAAAACCTTAAACTAAACACAGAACCAAAATGTATCTATTTCAGTGGCTAAATGGATGGCCTAAAAGCTTCTGGCCTGCAGAAGGAACCTGCACATGCGCAAAACAGTGTGACCGCAGGCTGTCTCCTGCATGCATTCTTTCTATTGACCACCAGATGGCGCCAAAGTAACAAACTGGAGTTTACATGGCAGAGATGAGGAGAATTGAATGGTTCATGCCAGAGTTTAAACTTCGATCATCTTGTGCTGAGAAATGATGGAGTTCTGGCTGTTTTGGTCACGACTCATATTGTATATTATGTGTAAATTATATGTAAAGTATCTGTATATTGTTAATGCTAGAGAGACACAGCCAGGAATAAATTCCTTGTGTGTGTCAACATGGCCAATAAACCTGATTCTGATTCTGACTTCAAATGTTAATCTGTGGTATACATTCGAAAAGTGTGTTCAGCGATTCAGGATATTTTTCTAACAGTAGCTACAAATGTGATCATGATGGACACTTCAGACTGAAACCGTAGATGAATGGGGACCTTCAAGTCCTCAGTGCAGCACTGCAACCAGGATCAGTATCTCCACGTGGGCTCAGGAGAACCTTAGAAAACCATCGTCATCAAAGACAACGGCTGAATCCAGAATTTTACCTTTACACAAAAATCTCTGTGATGGACTTGTGACCTGTCCAGGGTGTACCCCGCCTCTCGCACAGACTGCTGGTTATGGGCACCAGTGACCCCCCGTGACCCTGAAAAGAAGAAGTGGGTATAGATAATGGATGGATACACAAAATATCTGAACTGTGCAGAGTTTTGTGAAGTTAACCTCAGTTGGACAGAAGGACAACAAACATGTTCTTTCTGTGATACTTTGTAGAGAAGACTGTTTTCATCCTTTTTTTATTTTTCTGCATGTTTTCAGAAGCCTTCTTCTCCATAGGTTACTTTGTGCTGTTTCAGCCATTCATTTCTGAAACTAATTAGCTCATTCAGGAAATGAAAACCATGAATTAGAATTTTTTTTACTCTTTAACTTTTGAAAATATTTGTCAAATTTTATACATTGTCTTGTTATTTCCTTCTAAAACATTGTTTTCCTTGAAATTTGCTTCATCCGATTTGCTCCATATTTGTTTTCTAATACTACCTTTAGTTTTTAGCTACTGCTCTACTTTAAGCTTGATTATTTATTTACTTTTAGCTATTAGCTACACTTTGCTACTTTTAGCTTCTAGATACCATTTAGATACTTTAGTTTTACCTAGTTTTTGCTGCATTTTTCTATTTTTACCTGGCCTTTGGCTATTTTTAATTTTAACTACAGTTCTGCTACTTTCATCCTTTTACAAGTTTTATCTAGCCTTTATGTGCTTTGAGCTTTTGGCTATCCTTTTGCTATATTTAGCATTTACCTAACCTGTTGCAGCTTCTAATTAGTTTATTTTGTTTGCAACTCATAACTTCTTTTGCTATTTTAGCTAATGGTAGCATTTTGCTACTTTGAAGTTTTGCCTAGCCTTTATGCTATTTTGCTATAGCTACCATTTTTCTCCTTTTCACTTCTTCTTCACATTTAATTAGGCTTTAGCTACTTTTAGTTTTAGAAAGATTTTAACTATTTATTTAATGTTTACGTACTTTTGGATTCTAGCCAGCGTTTAATTTTTTGAACTTAAACAAGTCATTTTCAGCAGATTTCAGCAGTGTCTCCAACTCGGCCCAGATTCAGGTTTTACTGTAACCGATAAATAAAAGCACAATATATAAAAGGAAAAAACTAAAAGAGCGTGTCGACAGAAAATGTTCAGTCAGCTTTAATTTCCTGATGAGCTCCTGCTCCACAAACTGAAGCGACTCCATCATGTCAGCAGAGAGCAGCAGGTCTCCATGTCTGCTTCATGTCCGCTGTCCTCACTGACCTCAGGTCTGTGTTTCACTGAGCCGACTTTAAACTTTGCCTCCTTCCACAGACAGAGACAGCCTGTCCTCGTCCCCCTCACAGCTGTGAGGCCTGAATGCTGGAAATAACCACCGGAGTCACGGTTCTGTTCCAGCCTAATGTTGCCTTTGAGCTCCTTTAAGTTGAACAACATCAAGACAGAGAGACGGGCTGGGACTCCACACAGCTGACCTCAGATCTATGGGCTTCGAAAAGAAAACAGAAAGGTTTAATTCATGTGGTAATCAAATCCATTCAGAAGTTTTGCTCTAGAAGGATTTCTTTATACAAAAACTCTTTTGGTGTGTTTCACTCTTTTGGTTTTCCTTAGTGACATTTAGACGTAAACAAAGAAACACAACCTGCCAAAGATGAAACAAGACCAACATGTTGACTCACTGTTGAAACACTTTTTAAAGTAAAAACTGATTTTCAGGATAATTCGTAGGTTTCAGGATTTTCTAACTCAGTTGTGTGCAGAGTTAGAACATTACTGCATCTTTAAAGCTTAGAGCACGTCAGGCCTTGGGCCTTTGTGGAGGGGGGTAC